GGGACTACAGGCATGCACCACCATGCCGGGATAAGTTTTTGTATATATATATTTAGTTGACCAATTAATTTATTTCTATTTTTAGTAGAGACGGGGTCTCGCTCTTGCTCGGGCTGGTTTCGAACTCCTCTGACCTTGAGCGATCCTCCCGCCTCAGCATCTCAGAGTGCTAGGTTTACAGGCGTGAGCCACCATGCCTGGCCTTCATTCTGTTTTTATAATAAAACTCTGTAGCCCCAAGGAAAAATTTTTTTTTTCTAGTGTGGCAGTCAATGTGTTTAAGCATTTTTGCATTTATTCTTTTTGATCCTGAAGTTGCTTTTTTATCCATTTTTATTGTCAATATAATTTATGTAGATTATGTTTTTATGATTACCATTTACTTTCATTCTGTGGTAGATTAACTGCTCTAAAAAAATATATTTTGTGAGCTATTTCTTTTTCATTGGTTTTATTTCTTCTTATACCTTAGTGGAGCATGAGATGCATTTGGGTTATCTATCGCATGTCTTTTAATAAGTAATTGACATTTAAATCTAGTGGAGTAACTTGAATCCAATTAACATTTTTGGATGGGATATTTTCCAAAAAAATGAAGAAAAAATATCTTGATGATGGAATTCGGTTATATATTGAGCTTTTAAAACATTCTTATGGTTATTTCATTGCAACTTTCTTCTCTTTTAGGAAATTGCTTCCCATAAGTGTCTATTCTTAGGATGCCCTGCAGTCCCTTAAATTTCAGGCTTTTTTCCTATATTTTAAAAAAAAAGTATATCCCCACTTGATACCAAATTCAAGATTTGTGGTTTAGAAGTAATCTTCTTTTCCTCCAGAGTTAATATATATAAAAATACCTTGGCTAACTAATTCTAAGGAATGTGAGGTTTTTTTGGTTCTGTTTCAGTGCATGATCTCTCACCTTTTGAAACTGAAAATTTGAAATTGGATGTTCTGGCGGTATCTGGTTTGCTTTCTTACTACTTTTAAATTTCTGAAAAAGGACATTAGAAAATATATAATTTGTGTTATAATTTGGCTAAAATTTGTACCATTTCAGGCTAATGCCTTTGTTTCTGCTGGCCATACTCAAACGTTAATCCTGGAAGCTGATTACTCCAAAAAAGAAAGAAATCCATGAAAGTAATACTTTTGATAGTTTTTGTTTCCTTTAGGATTATAAAATAGAACTTTTTAGTGTTGATCTTAGATTTTAGCTACTCAATAGAATTCTCCTTTTCTTACTTTTTGTTTCTTGATCAATATTCTTTATTCATTTGTAAAAAACATTTACTGAGTTACCTAGTTAGTGTGCCAAGCACTTTTCTAGGGGCTGGAGATAGAAAGACACACTATTTCTAGTAAGGATGTTCTTCTCTTTCTTCTTATTGCCAGCTGGGACTCTTTTGGACACTTAGAGGAACTTGTGAGAAATTTGTTTCCCTGATAGAAGTGCCTTAGAACCAGTTAGAATAAGTGATAAAAGATAAATAAGAAAAAGATGTTTCATCATGCTTCCAAGTCATGTAGAATGTCTCGATTTATGAATAATCCATAAATTTATGAACTAGCAAGTTTGACTTTAGTCATAGCACAAGGGAGTAGAAATCGGTCCTTGTGGAAACATGGTACCTTCTAGTTCATTGCTTAAAAACAATTATGTGTAACCTTCCCTTTTTCTTTGATATTAGAAATGCTTAAAACTAGCTATATGATCATTGAATAATTTAGTATTGAGAGCAAGTGTTGCAAATAGTCTAATTTGAGGTACATCTGATAAGAATTTTTTAAGCGGCATTTATATATAAAATACTAAGATTTATTGTTTCAGATTTGACTATACTGGATTTTCAGTAAGAATCTTTAAAAATTTAAGCATTTATGGAAAAATGTTAAAATTATTTTATTGATGTGTTAATAGACCTATAATACCCATTTGAAGTGGCATCTCAGCATTGCTGATTTTGCTATCTTTGGTTTGAAATTTATTCTCTGGTGTTTGAAATATAAGTCCTGCAGTAGAATACTTATTTTTCTCCCCCTCTTAAAATATCACATAGAAGAATGCTGTCCATTAAAATAGATTAGGTAAAGTCCTACTGTGACATTCTTTTGACCATCCATCAGTATTCTCACAAAGGCTGCTCTTTCTTGTTTGAGTGATGACCTCATTTTGAAATCGCCGTTAAGTTTTTCTATATAAATGAAACATTATCAAATTCAGAGTCCTTATAAATTAACTCTTATAGCAAGAGGGACACCAGCTTCCCTCAATGATTTCAAAATAATTTCTATTTAGAGAAATCTGTTTAGTCATTTCTGAGTATGTATATTTTGGTTCTTCAGTCAAAATAAAGAAATTATATTCTGAAAGTATTCTGACTTGGGAGTTTATAAATGGATCCATTTATCCAGCCACTCTCATAGTTAACTTGCCATGTAACCTGACTTAAAGACATTTGGTTTTTTAAATCTAAGCTTGTTGTATTTTTAATATATATTCTGTGGTGTGTTGATAAATAAACCAGTGGTTTGGAGGTGTTTAACTTAAAGCTTCTCCTGAAGGAGAAATTCTGAATTTAACCCAATATTAATCTGAGCAAGATATATGATTTCTTAGGGGTTGTTTTTCATTTTCCAAAGTGAAGTGGGCCTGTAAACTTAAAAAAAAAAAATTATACCAAGTGTATGTTCTATTTCAAAATGAACCTCTTTCTTATTGCCTGTATTTTCACTCAGCTATATGTTATTACTGATCAGTATTCAAGAACTGAAGGAAAACTGGGAAATTTGGAAAATCATATCCTATTTATAATTTTTAAATGTTTTTAACTGTTTCAAAGTTTTACTTAAATTCCATTAATTTGGAAATCTTAGATAATTTTCATGGTTTATACTGAGATATTATTAAACATGAAAAAGAATGATTTGTCAAGGAAATTGATTGGAAAAGACTAGGGGATGATTGTTTAATAAATAATTTTTAAATTACTTTTGTAGTACCTATTTGCATCAGTAGGTACAATGAAAATGTATCTAAGATAGCTCTGTACTAATTTTAAGCCCTTCTTATCTATTAAATAGCCACTCTTTAAAAGCTCCAGCTGTGGAATAGTTCATTAATCTATTTGGGTTTTTTGGGCTTTCGAAATATGTAATTAGATTGCATTTCTTGAACTATTCTGTATTTAGATCTTTTTCCTAATTTGTGCTCCTTTTCTCTTACCATTCCTCATATACCTCCTCAATGTGCTTATACTGTAAATTACTTTTTTTAGCCTACTGATCTAAATACAGTCTCCTCAAAACTAAAAGACTTTAGGACTTAAAATCTATTGGACACTTAAAATGAAAAAGTAGCTACCACTTGGACACATAAAGTACATTAATAGTTATTTGTTTAATACCTCTTGTTAGATGGCAATTTCACTTCCTTGACTTCTTCCAGATTTCTTTTTTCATTTCTTTTAATTTTTGGAAATGATAGATTTGATAGTTAAATTCATAGGTTTTCTTTTCTTAGGCCAAACTGTTTTCATTTCTCATTTGTAAAGAATTGGATATATTTCTAACCAGAAGGGTTAGCTCATTCTTTTCATCTTCAGGCTTTTAAAAATATTTAGTCTAAATGTTGTTAGGTAATGGAATAACCATTCCTTTTCAGCTTTTGATATGTTTCCAAACTGGCTGACAGAGCCAGGAGGAAGTGAAAGCATTAAAATACTAACTTTGGTTGGTTGCTACCTTCTTAGTGCTGAGGCTATAACCTTTGTTGGTTGATTGATAGAGAACAAGAGAGCACAATCCTCGTTCCACTAACAGGTAAGGAACCCCTGTGATAACCAGTTGGTGTGAGAGGGAGATTATCTGATGACATTTTTTTCTTAATTTATCCCAAAATCTAACATGTCCCAGAAATAGGACACTGTGACTGACTATATTCCATAGAACAGGGATATGTAGCACCTTTATATTTAGAATAAGATTTGAAATTTAATAGGGATGTATCACTCTGTACCACAAAGTATAATTGATCTGTTTTCCAAAGGCAACACTGTTAAAATTTATCATGCAGTCCCTAAAACTTTAAATATATATCTGCCTATCTTATTCTCCTTTCAGCTTTTCCTTGATCAGATGCTATGTGCTTTGAACTTCCTTCTCTTATTTACCTTATTCCTATAATAAAGCTAACTATTTTCTAGTACCTTTGTCATCATCTATTATTTGGATATGTCCTGCTGCTTTAATTTCTACATTGTAGCCATTAATGATTATTCTTGGTCCTTCTTTACCCAAAACAAAATGATTATTCATTTTAAAAAAGATTTTGAGTCTGTATTACTTATGTCCACTGTTCTGCTTTCCCAATTTTAAAGATGAGTGAGTACTTAAGTAGTAAACCTTTTCAGTGATAGTAGTCGTAACTTTTATGAAATGCAGGTTTTGTTTTATATTGTTATTATATTTGGGCTATAGTGTGATTAATTCTTTAAATTAACAAGGACTTGAAAACCAAGAACAAATTCAGCTTCTTAGACATTCCCAAAGTTTAGTAGCATTCCTGTTAATATACTTGATTTTTCTGTTTCTGCTTTTCAATTCATCATCTTCTCTTTGATAGAAGAATTAACTGGGACTCCTCATTTGATATATCTGAGGCTGAGTGCCTTTTCCCTGTCCCTTTAAGACAACTATGATCTTGTTCCCAGTTACAATTTATTATTTTTTGACTTGGTCTTCCACTCGAAGTTGAGTGGTTTGTCACAGATTGTGTTATGGCTCAGATCAGTACAGGTCCCTTCTTAATAGTTACTGAGGATTTAGTCATTTGTGGTGACAGACTTCTAAAATTCAAATTAGGAAGACGCTAAAGAAAGTATGCCCAAAGGTAGCTCCTTTTTATCCTGAGGATAAGCCATTACAAAATCAAATGACCAGAGAATGTAATTTCTTAATAAGAATTTTTTCTTAAATCTATATTCAGCTCTCTATTTCAGTGCTTCTCTCCTACCAGAGGTGCAAGGAGTGATCCTAGAACCACAGATACAGCCAAGACCACGGAGAGCTTTTGACGTCAGGGGTCCACTTTCTCCACTGAACCCTTGGAGGCAGAATATCCAGCTTCTGGAGAGAGTGGGAAAGGATAATAAACAAGTGGGTGCTTTCCATTATTTACTTGGTTTATTTATAGATTGGAGTGTCCTTCCATTGCCCATTTAATTCTGTTTGTAAACTCCTTGGGTTCATATAAGAACCAGGTGGGGCTGCAATCTGTTTACTTTTCTAAGAATGCTAACTAGTTTACTTTTCTAAGAATGCTAACTAGTGCCCATTCAAAAAAGAGATCTTAAAGTTTATTTAATTTTCTCTCCAGATAATTAAGCAGTGGATGGTTTGGGGCACATGATCTGCTGAATGCCTGTGTAGTCCACAGGAATTTTAAAAAGGGAATATTTACCAGTTTTGGCCTTTATGGTATTAGTGGACTTCTAAGTGTTCTTTTATATTCCAGTAATTTAAAAGCTTTCTGTATTTCATCTTTGGGCAAGCTGGACATTTGGAATCTAATTTATGCAGTCAGATGTCCAGGTGTTATCCTACCCTGTTAGTGAGAACTTTTTGGTCTTTTTCCTACCTTAAATGTTAGGACTTCATATTAGATCTTTTAAAAGATACATTGATAGTACTGTTATGGTTTTACTGTCAAATCTAGGCTTCATTCTTTAATAAAATAAATGTGAATGAATATAAGTTTCAGGATGTAATATCCCTGAAAGCTATGGTTAATATACTCAAAAGTAGTATTATAGTCCCTAGGAATGATACTATTTTTGGCAAAAGAGCCTTTTCCTAGATTTTTCCCATGGCATTAAGATTAAGATAGTTTTCTCTTAGTTTCTTTGATGCCAGTGGTAGGATTTGATTGCAGGAAGTTCTTATCATCTACAGTGGGTAGAATGTGAACTTGTTGACTTTGGCAAGTTTTCATTTTTCCTTGGTGGATTCCTTCTGTGACTCCAGGTATCTTGATAATGGGAGACCGGTTTATTTGTTCTCTAATTGCCCAGATTTCTTTCAACTGGTAAAACATCATACTTCTTCAGCAAAAGGAATTCTTCTAGCAGAGCCTTCATGGATGATATCTCTCACACATGCCAGCACCTGCAGTTTGGAAGGCAGTGGTGAATGGATCCATGCAATATGTCTAGAAGACACAAGGATGAGCGAGCCACCTGATCTTGTCATTTATAAACTTTAAGATTTACTCTGGTTTACTCTTGGTCTGAAAATGGAAAGGCTCAAATAATGAAATAATCTTTTCAGATTGGAATTTTACATGGCCATGAAAATATTCCTTTCTATTCAGAAGACTGAAATAGAGGAAGCTTGAGAGACTCCTTTCTTTTAAAAGCAGCTCTCTGTATCTATTTCACTTAAAAAGATTTGTGAGATTGAAAATCGCCTTAATGAAGTAGGCAGACTTTTTTTAAATCTGTAGTAGTATAGGAAGTCCAAAACACTTAATGAAATAGGTTTTTGTTGCCTGACACTGAAAGGAACTAGTAAATAAAGGGTGAAATAATTCCAGAATTACTTTTAATATTACTATATACTGTTTTAGCTCATCTTTGCTTGTCTTTAGGCTTATTATTTGTCAAATCAATCAATGCTAGTAGAGAAGTACAAGAGACATCTTTTGAGATCAAAGTAGCTTTGTCTTCTAAAGTAATAAATAGTAAACTTGAAGTATTTTCTGCACTTAAGGCATACTAAAATTTGAATGATACTGTCACAAAGTAGTTTATAGAGCAAAGGCAGTTAGTATTAGAGTAATCCTGTAAGTGTGAATAAGTATTGCAGAATAGTTATCCAAGCTATTGATAGAAGTAGTTATCAAAATGTTTCGATTTCTCTCTCTAGTATCTATTAACTGGTCAGTCAAAAGCTATTAAAGAAAAATTTTAAAGTCATCTGATGCTGCCAGTTTGTTTCCTTTGGTATAAATTTTAAGAATTGAAATTATAGATTTATTGTTATGGAAACAACTAAAATGTTTTAGGAATCTCAGAGATTTTAGAAGCCACATTTGCTAGAATGGCCTTTTAGTCTCTCTTGGCTATCTATGAATACTGTTTTTTTCCTCATTAATTATAAATAAATTCTTGTTAGTACTTAAGTAAGTTTAAAAGATCAATTTGAACTGAAATTTCCCCAGAGAGCTCTGAATTCCAAAAAATTATACAGCTTTTTATTCCTGACTTGTTTTTATTAAATGTTAATAAGACAGTTGGTTTATAAATACATATAAATTAAAAAACAACTACTCAACATTGTAGAAAGAACTCAGGGAACTGAAAGTGAAATTTGCTTAGAAATTAAGTTAGTTGAGTTCTTTGACTCATAGCACAAACCAGTTTATGGCCTGTGAGATTATTAGCTTTTTGTTTCAGCTTTGAAGATGAAAAGTGATTTAATCTCTTAATCTCATGCCTTGATTAAATTTTAGCTCTGTTCCTTAAAGTGTACAAAAGAAATGTAAGTGCATTTCTATTCATCTCATGCCACTAAACACTATTTAAGTGAAACTTTTTGTATATTAATGTGAACTGATTTGTTTATTTAAAGTTTTATTTTGATGCATTTTCCGTTCAGAGTTTTTTTTATATTTCTTGTCATAATATGCAGTCCTATATTTTTCAGTGTTTATTTTATGAATATTAATATAATTATTTTTTTCTAGAATGACTAATTGTATAATATTGTATTATGTGATCAATTGAAAACTAATAAATATTTTCTCCATGAAAAAATGCACTTACTGAAAAATGGCTTATTTCTGTTTCAGGAGTAGAAAGTGAAAACTGCAACCGTATTTTAAAGTGTATTTTAATTTTATATGTCTTCCTCTGAGTCCTTATAAATATATATTCTATTCTCTATAATTTTTTTGAGAAAAAATACTTTCTTTAAACTGTTAAAATGATTCTTCATGGGGTCCCTAGTGAATGTATGAAATAGGAGATCTATTAGTTTGTTTTTGCATTTTCCTGATTAGCGTTATCTTAGCTTTGTTTTCAGAATTAGATCTTTTTAGATGTAATTTTTGTATGTCAGTTTTGCAAGCCATTAAAACTCTCTTGACTTAATATTGTAAATGTCAGGAGTAATTTGGTCAAATCTTTTAAAGTTAGATTGATCAAAATATAAGCTCTTACAGTTCCTTTACCCAGAAAAAGAACATTTGAAAATAATGGCTGATTGGAGAACTCTACCTTGTTCACGAGAACTGTTAACAAGAGAAGAAAAAGGTTTTGTATTTTGGTGTTCTGCTTGTAACTGTAGGAGAAACCTTGACTTCAGAGTCTCTTAAGACTTTTAACCTTATCAAGACAGCATGGAAAAGAGTAAAATTTAGTTTTAATGATTCCTGTCTTTACAGCTACATAAACTTACTAAATTGAAGCAACAGGAGAAATTTGCCTTTTCTATGCAGGACCTGCTAGAAGCAAGAGGATTCCTTATGAATTTGAAGAAAAGTTATATAAGAACTGGACTCCAAAAATTAAAAATAAACATTAAGATGGGGTCCTAGGACAGAAGTAAAAATTGAATTAATGACAACCTGTGGGTTAAAATGAAATAATTTGGTTCTACAAAGAAATTATACTCTGAAAAAATAAGAATTATAAAAGGAAGTTATAATTTAGAATAGCTATTACATTGGTAGTGGAGAAAAGGAAGCTGAAATTCTTGGCTTTATTAACATGGTAAGTTTGGAAAAAAATTAGTAAAGGGTCTGTGAACAAAATTTTGGTTTTAGTATTAAAGCTATTAAAAGCATATTTCATTGGAAGGCTGTATTTTACTTGAGTGTCAACTTAAAAGCTATTTTTGTATGTATATAGAAGTGTGGGGTTGGGGGTTAAAAAATATCCAGGACTGGAAATTTGAAAAATACTGCAAGAATAATGGTGAAATGAATTTTAAATTGGTAGTTTTTTTAAACATGAACTCTTCCTTACATCACCAATAGCCTTCAAAATAAAAATGTTACGGAATGATGAGCTTGGCTTACCATTTTATCTTTGAGGTATAAGAACATAGGCTTATGGTTTCACCAGCATTGATTACATTAACTATAGTATAAATGTCTGTTTTGATTGTTTTTTAGTGAGGAAACAAAGGGCTTTTTGGGTAGCTTCTGTTTTAAAAAAGTAAATATCACAATCAGTGTGACTGCAAAGTACTGACTTTACAGCCTATTGTAAATATGTACACAGGTCTTATTTTCCTTTACTTTATTAAAACAGTTGAGCAAAACATCAGTGCTTAGATGTCCTAAACAATTTCTTTATTTTTATTCAGGTATTTTTGTTTCCCATTTTAAAAGATTTTATATTAATTTAATTCTAAAATGGTAAAAGATTCATGTTTGAAAAATAAGCACATAGGTGCTCTGGGGATTTTTTCCTGACAGCGTGTACATCGAAGGTAATTAGATCACTGCAGTAAAAATGTTAGGGAACTTTGAAGTATGCATCGGAGTTTTCAGGAATTATGAACAAAGGGATCTCTGCTCAAGAGGTAAGGTATGGCATAGGTAGAAAAAAGTTCAAAATATGTTCGCTGTAATGATAAAGTAAACTACAACAGATACCCTTGGGTTTTCAGATGGATGTAGTATTAGGAAAACAATATTTCTTCAAACTCTCCCAGAGGAGAGAAATTGATAAACCACAAATTTGTTTTCATATGGCTTTGAAGTTCATTTAGAAACATATTCACAAACATTCTACCCTTGGTGTATGTAGCCTCTGATATTCTGAGTTATCCCCTACCCTTGCTCTTTTAGTGTTTATGATCCATATTTAACTTAGTATTTCTCAAACCTAAGCACTACAAAAATATTATAGTTTGCATGGAAAGTTGAGTATGTATTTCATGATATTATTACTTTTATTTTGGCTGTGGATGCCTGTTTTTATTAAGTGATATACCTAGAAATTAGAAAACAGCTTAACTTTTATTTTGGCTTGAGAAATTAATTCAAGGAATTTTATAAACACTCACTATAACTCAAGAATCTGTTATTAAAGATCAAGAAATGTTGCCTATTATATAAAATCATTGACAGGAAAGTGCTATTTTCTAAGGAATGTTAAGTAGGTTCAAAGAGTTGAGTGTTAGTATGAGTATGTTACTTAGTATATCTCGAAACAAAGGAAAGTGCAATATTGAATATGGATAAGATAGGACATGGATTAGGATTTTTTTTTTCTAGAATTACTAGTATACTCAGAGGATAATGTAGAAAACAATCTTTCCATCATATTTTTGAATTCTTTTTATAAGAACTGCTTGTGAACATTTGGCTTTTACTTAAAATAATTTGCTGTTAATTCACTTTCCCCTTTATGTTAATGATAATGTTGATGTGAATTGCTGCTTCCATGTTCAGGATGCTCTTATATTAAGAAGTTGATCCAGAATTGCTCTTATGCCATTTTTTATTTGAAAATTACCTTATAATTTTCTAGTTTAGCACCCTCATTTTACATATAATTGATGTTCAGGAATACCACATACATTTCTAGTATCACACTGTTTTTAAACAAATTATCTTTGGGACTCAAGTCTCTTGACTACCAGCTCAGAGATAGGTACCCCTGTACTACCTCTTCTGTTGATCTTTGTTCTGGACAACAGAATGTATCTGATCCCTTTCAGGTAGGACAGTTTTTGAGATAATTATTAATTCCCTATCGGAATTGATAGGGATTAACCCAAGTTTTCTGCAGATTAATCCCCATGTTCTTAACTCTTGTTCATGTGGCATGGTTTTGAGGTCCTAAAAGGTTTTGTAGACACTCTCTGAACATAATTCAGTTTCTTTTAGTGTGTGTCACGGAACCAACACATTACAGATGTGTGCTCCCTGGGCTGTTGCTACACATGGCCTTATGTTGTGACTGGCCCTGGAATCTCATACCACTTTGTTCTTACATTTATATCCAGTAAAGTGGGTGCTTAATTTTATGCATATTGAGATTCTCCTAGGCAGAGAAATAATACAGTGATATGCAAAATATTTTGTTTCTAAAAATCAGGCTAGTAGTCTGTTTTATGAAAGTCTGTATAATGTGGAAATTTACTCAACTTAACTCTATTAAGAACCTTGGGAAATCATAGATACAAAAGGGCAATCTCCATTTAAGTTACTTTTGGTTTGCTTAACTCTGACTTAAATTAACTATAAAGTCTATCTTAAATGATTTGTGTAATATAAAATGTTGTTTTTCAGGTTGTACTTGACTAATTTAAGGGTAAGCAAGCCTTTTGGAGCCCGACTATTGCCATGTGACTGGCATTGAGAAGAAAATAAACTTGTGTTTAGTAACATAATTTAAAGTAGTGGAAAAATTTGGGAAATATACCATATGGCAGAAGATGGTGAAGAAGTAACCCTGGAAGTCTTGAGAAAGTGGCCTAAGTTCTAATGCAAGCATAGTTTTTTTATGTTGCATCTTGAAATATAGTGCAAACACTCTGCTATTGCAACATTGTTTTGGAATAACAGTATTTTTAATTACCATTTAAAACATTGAGCTTTTCCCCCATCAAATCTTAAAATGAGCTCCAGGAAGACATGAGGTATCTATTTCACGATTACATGTACATCTAAGGGTACAAGTACCTCTGAGAAACACTGGTTGAGAAGAGGGTGTATTGTGTCTTAGCTGACTTAGAAAGAATTTGGGGGAAAATAAGAGCAAACATTTATATGCCTACTCTGCACCTTTGCAAGGTGCTTTACATACATTTATCTAATTGAGCTTAGCTACCCTGTGAAAATGGAAGGTGATCATTTTTCCATTTTACACATAAAGATGCTGAAGCTCAGAGGTTACAAAGTCTGCCAACAGTATGTAATCATAAGCAATAAAGATGGCATTTGAAAGCAGATCTGTTGATCTAAAGAATTTATTAGACCATTGCCAAATATTTTTGCCAAAAGAATACATATTCTCAGGAAAATTTCATTTAGAACCTCAGAGTCAAAAGTAGGAAAAAAAGTGTTATTTTACTTAGTGTGCAGTTTTTAATAGACTTTAAAAAGAGTAGTTTTAGGTTTATAGATTAATTGATCAATGAAAGCAGAGTTCCCATTTAGCTCCTTTTCTCTCACATGGTTTTCCCTATTACCATCTTGCATTAGTGTGGTACTGTTTTTTTTTTTCTTTTTCAGCTTCCCCAATTAAAGTCAGCTGATGTGGTACATTTGTTACAACTGATGAACCAGTATTGATACATTATTAACTAAAGTCCATAGTTTACATTAGGGTTCACACTTTGTGTCATATAGTTTTATGGGTTCTAGGAAATACATGTCATGTATTCATATTACAATATAATAGGAAATAGTTTTTAAGTGCCCTAGAAATGTCCTGTGCTCTTCCTATTTGATTGATTGCTGGATCATATGGTAAGCCTAGGCTTAGCTTTGTAATACAGAGACTGCCAAAGTATCTAACAAAGTGGTTGTGCCATTTTGAATTCCCACCAGCAGTGAATGATTTCTCCTGCTCCACATTCCCAACAACATTTGCTGTTGTCAGTGTTTGATTGTAGCCACTCTAAAGAGTGTGTGGTGGTATTTCATTGTTTTAATTTACAGTTCCCTAATGATGTTGAACATCCTTTCAAATCTGCGATACCTGCTCAAATTTTTTATCCAATTTTATAATTAGGTTTCTTGTTTAGTTTTAAGAGTTCTTGGTATATTTTGGATACCAGTCCTTTATCAGGTATGTGTTTGGCACATATTTTCTCTCAGACTGTGGCTTGTCTTTTCATTCTGCTAATAGTGTCTTTTGCGGAAGTGAAAATTTAATAAAGTTGGCCTTATTATTTTTTCTTCAGTGGGTGATGATTTTGGTGGTATATCTAAAAATTCATTGTCAAATCCAGTGTCACCTAGATTTTCTCCTGTGTTTTCTTTACAAATGTGTTTTTTCCCTTCTTTTCATTAATAGTTTTGTTTTACATTTAGATCTATGGCTTATGATTTTGAGTTAATTTTTGTGAAAGGTATAAGGTTTGTGTTTAGATTTTTTTCTTTTATCTTTTTTTTGTTTGTTTAGGAAGGGGACATGTGATGTCTAGTTGTTCCAGTACCATTTGTTGAAGACTATTCTTTCTCTACTGATTGCCTTTGCTCCTTTTTCAAAAGTTGGTTGACTGTATTCATGTGGTTCTGCCTCTGGGCTCTCTATTCCATTCCACTGATCTGTTCTTTTGCCAGTACCATACTATCTTGAACACTGAAGCTTTTCAGAAAGTCTTGAAGTTTGGGTAGTTTAAGTCCTCTGATTTTGTTCTTCAGTATTTTGCTGAGCATTCTGGATCTCTTACTTTTCCATATAGACTTTAAAATCAGTTTATGTGTATCCATAAAATAACTTGATGAGATTTTGATTGGGATTGCATTGAATTCTAAAGATCAAGTTAGGAAGAACTGGCATCTTAAGATTGAATCTTTCTATCCATAAACACAGAATATTTCTTCATTTATTCAAATCTTTGATTTTTCATTAGCATTTTTTTAGTTTTTTCTTCATATAGATCTTAGATTATATTTTATTAGATTTATACCTAAGTATTTCATTTTTTTTTGGTGTTAATGTATATTATACTGTGTTTTTAATTTCAAATCCTAATTGTTCACTGCTGGTATATACAAAAGCAATTGACTTTTGTATACTAACTTTGTATCCTATAGCTTTGCTATAGTCACTTATTAGTTGGCAGGAGTTTTTTCATTGATTCCTAGGGATTTTCACCATAAACAGACATGTTATTTGTGAACAAAGTTTTATTTATTCCTTTTCAGTCTCTATACCTTTCTTGTCCTTTGCTTATTGAGCTAGCAAGGACTTTCTAGTATAATGTTGAGTAGGAATGGTGACAGGAGACATCTTGTCCTGTTTCCAGTGTTGGGGGGAAGCATCTAGTTTTTCACCATTGAAGTATGATGATATCTGTAGGTTTTTTGTAGATATTCTTTATCATGTTGACACTTTCTTCCTGATTTGTTCAGTTTTTAATTGTGAGTGGATGTTGGATTTTGTCAAGTGGTTTTTCTGCATTTATTGATATGATCAGGTGATTTTTCTTTAGCATGTTAATGTAGTGAATTATATTAGTTGATTTTTGAATGTCAGACCAGCCTTGCATCCATGGAATAAATTGTACTTGTCATGATGTAGAATTCTTTTTATACATTATCAGATTTGATTTGCATATATTTCATCAAGAACTTTTACATCATTGTTCATGAGAGATGTTGGTTTGTAATTTTCTTGTATTGTCTTTAATTTTGGTATTGGGCTGATACTGGCCTCATAGAATGACTTAGGAATTGTTCCCTGTTTCAACTTCAAGAAATTGTAGAGAGTTGGTATCATTTCATTAAATATTTGACAGTGAGTTCTGCCAAATATTTAATGGGCCTAGTGTTTTCTGTTTGGGAAGATTATTAATTATTGACTCAATATCTTTAATAGATTTGACTTATTCAATTTATCTGTTTCTTCTTGTGTGAGTTTTTTTTTGTAAATTGTATCATTTAAGGAATTGGTCCATTTTATCTAAGTTCTCAAATTTGTGGGATACAGTTGCTTATAAGACTATTATACTTTTAATGGGATTAGTAGTGATGGCAGGTCTTTCATTTGTGGTATTTTTTATGTCTTTTATTAGTTAGCCTTGCCAGATGTTTATCAATTTTATTGATTAGAGAACTAGATTTTGATTTTGTTGATTTTTTTTCCCTGTTTTTTTTACTGCTTTCAGTTTCATTGATTTCTGATATATATATATTTTTTTCTTCTGTT